ATGGTCTACTATGCTGACCATGCAGCAAATAACTACCCTGATGGTATCCTGCAGGTATCTCCAGGTAGGTGCACGTCTATGAACATCTATATTTTATTTTCTCCTATGCCACATCTGACACATGTGTATATCCGCGCAGAATAGCATCTTAGATGTACCATACTCTGTAATTAAGTTTTATATGTACTCTAGAAATATAACATGATTTATCTAGAATTTTATCGAAATTGACTGGACCCGTATACGACAGGCTGCCCCCCGCCGCCACCAACGATGAGGAGAGTGGCGGGCGACAACCACCATATCATTCCGCGTCGCTCCGGCGGCGCTCGGTCGCTCTATATGTACGCTACACGAGCTAATATATAGTACAATTTTATCCCACTACAGTGACGCTGTGGCACGCTGTCACTAACGACGTCGGGGAGGGCGGCGGGGGGCGCTCCGATTGCCTGATTAGGCAGGACCGGCAAGCGCCGACGACGCCAGATAGTGTTGCTCGTGAAGTGAAGGCGACCTGAAGTTGCCTTCACTTCACTTCAAGAAAGACGTCACTTCATCCACTTCAGTGTCGTCATGAAGTGGCGCTGAAGGCTTCAAGAAAGCGTGCGATGTATGGTCGCGGTCACGTGCATGTCCCAAATGGTACCAGATAAGCTGGACGCGACGCGTTTGAGACGCGTCCGAGTCGCATTCACTCCTCATCTCCAGTCGACGATCGTTCAGAACGATGTCCAGGAGACCACCCTCGTCATTGCGAATCGCTAGGCAGAAAATGATATAAAATTTAGCTCAAATTCACGAGAATGACCCCAAGTTTGAATGCCCTCGGCCTGCTCGCGCAATGGCATCGCAACCTGGAGCCAGCTCATATCCATACTCCCCCTTCAATTCCTCTTCTTTAGCCTCTGGCTCGCCTGATTACTCTCAGCCAGCTTACGCCCTTAATGTGCAACAGCCCGACAATCCCCCCTTTGGTTTAATCCCCACTCACTACCCTCCTTGGGTCTCACCATCTCTGCGCCTTGGGCCCCAAGTTCAGCCCTATGTTAGCCAATATCAACTAACCCAGCCGCCCGTGCCCTCGGCAGCCTTCTATTCAAGTGCCGCCTTAGGTCATGCCACCGGCGTGCCTTTGCAAGAAGCACAGGGAAGCGTCATAAACGCTTATGAGCCTACTCCCGGTGGTAAGAGGAAGAGCACGAGCTCGGGAGGCGGACGTGCGTCTAAACGCGCAATACATGATACTAGGCAGGAAGTCTCGTGTATATGCATTAGCTATGAGTACGTGGATGCCCTCGGGACTATAACTATCTTTCGTGGAACACTGAGTCTACCCGCGCTGCAGTTATCAGCCCGATTACTAAGTTGGAATGGATGGAAGAGCACTGGTGCCGTGAAGATGCAGAAGCCGCCAAAAGGTGGATGGTTGAAGCAGTAAGTACTCGCAGAATAAAGTGCTGGTGTCCCAAGTAGTGACTCATCCGGAGTTCAGATGCTCGAATATCAGAAGAAGCGTCGTCTTGACATCGCCGCCGCTCGGCCCATTCCCGTCCCTCATGTGCACCCGGCTCAAGCATCACAACCGGGCAAAGTCGCCGCGCAAGCGCAACGTCGCGGCTTTGCGAACATACGGCGTCTTGCAAAGGAGGCCTCAGCCGGTAGCGTCTCCTCGACAACCACGGAGGGAGACGTTTCAAGTGCGAGCTCTCCAGGTGCATCACAGGCTCAGAAGGAGCTCATGGAACGACGTCAAAATGAGGCCGACGAGCGTATCGTCATGGACGAGCTCGAGCGTTATCTTGCAGCAGGTACACTCAGCGACGAGATGCTCGATGACTTCGATCTAGTCGCATTCTGGCAGGTACGTTGGCATGTTCTAAGGCGGAAATATCTACTCATTGTGTCTGGTAGCTTGCGCAATCTCAATACCCACTACTATACCGTGTTGCGCTCGATATCCTACCCGTTCAAGCATCCGCGGTTCCGTGCGAGAGAGTATTCTCGTCCAGTGCGGAAACCGATACTCCTCGGCGAAATAAACTGTCGTGCCTCATATTTGAGGTACTTCAAATCCTCAAGTTTGTTTATCATCAGGACAGGTTAAGCTTTACCGATGGATGGATAGCGAAGGAGTGTGAACTCCAGGACGCTCACTCAGAGCTTCCCGGGGATACGGGGGATACTACTAGTGCCACAGATATCTTTGCTCATTTGCTACGATACCACCTACAGACTAATGATCCTGCAAGCGAGAGTGACAGTAGTAGTGACATAGGTGATAATTAGTATTTTTGCCATTCGGATTGCACTTGCTTAGCCTGTATTTCATTGGTCTAAACATATTGTGCGGAACTGTAACATACGTGGGAATTGACTGCCATCGGCGCCACAGGCTTCATGAAGCCTTCAGTGTCACGCTGAAGCGACTTCATTCGTGATGAAGTGCTCCACAACTCCACTTCAGTGTCACTTCAACTTCATTCACGAGCAACACTAACGCCAGACGACGGAGGCGGCGGCTTCAAGCAAGACTCTATATTATAGTACTAATACATAGTATACTAGTTGTACTAAGACAGCCGCCATCCCCGGTACGACCGCTGGTGTCACTCAGCGAGCAATTCTGAGCCTTGTTAGGCTTGACCGGAGGGCAGATGAGCCAGCCTAATTAGGCCTGGGACCTGGGCTGTCTAGGTGCCTGTCCCCCTTCCTGGCTACGGCTGGCTTACGCGGTCTGCAGAAAAATGGAAGCTAATCACAAATCACCCACACTCACCGCTACTCACCGCAGTCATGCTGAGTGGAGCTTCTGAAGGGTCCGCGTATCAGAAGATAACCGTGCTACCGATGAACATACCTATCAATGCGAGCGCTCTTGTCTCCGGTGATACCGGAGCCTTAGTAGGCGCAAGCTAGGTACAGGCTTCCCTTGTTTTGGCACGACCCCACGATGGAATCGTTCGGTTGTCAGTAACTCAGACTCTAGAAGTGGAATACGCATGGGCGCACGGATTACAAACCGCTGTCGTATGCAGCTATGGCACGGAAGCTTGAGCCAGAGTAATACACAATTGTGCAACCTCTCAGAGTGAGGCTTAGTCGTATCTTCGCGGGTAGATAATGAGGTCAAGGAAGAGGGCAGGTAAAAAGGCGAGACTTCTAGTATCTTACAGACGTAAAACAGTCACTGTCCACAAACCATGGATTCGAAGTTGTACTTCGGAAAGTCGTCGGAAGTCGTCACTACGGATTCACCCGAGGCCTTTCTCGGAGCCACAGCTCGCGAACGACCAGGTTCGTGCGTGATGACTTTTGCTTTGTGCTCTGCCTTTGTGAATGCCAGTCCAAGTCCTACCGTTGATTACAGATTGAGCGTGTGCTACGTATAATCGAACGCCTGTCCACTCGTCATTGTGTACCCTGATGTCGGAAGACACATTGCTCTCACACTTCACGGTGCTTGATGACCTCATCCAGGTGATCTACCAAGGTCACCTCAAATTTGTCGTGCTCTCAGAAGCAGATGAGGACTCCGGGTGGTGCGTGCACGTTGGTCTGACAAGTAGGAATAAGGAGGGGAGGTGGTGGAGGGGACGGTGGACTGAGGGAGATGTCGAGAAGATCATCGTGCGTGGATGTGTGCTCATCGTATCCCTTCATGCTGCGTTCAAGCTTACGATGCTGTGGATTACTGCGCAGGGCTCGAAGAAGGCTATGAAAGTTGCGGAAGGGCTGGCACAGGAGTTGAAGGATGCTATCACTTCGGGCTTTCTTTCGATATCGAACTGGAGCTCGAGTCCAGGGGCCGAGATTGATGTATGTAATGCATGCGTTTCCCTCTTCTATCCACGCCACTCTACATCTTCATTCTAATGGACATCATATGCCTGATAACTTCCCAGTTGACGTTGAGCCCTACCAACAAACAGCAACATTCCGTCTCGTTGACTGAACTCTCAGCGGCGGAAGCGGCGGCACATGCCGCGGACGTTTTCTTCCGTGTAAGTGCATTGCTCATGCCCTGTTGTTATGCGCAGTGACAAGTTTCTTCCGTGCATAGATCGCTCTACAGGCTCAGAAACGCGGTTGCCAACTAGAGCCGTCAGCGGCCCCCGCGTTGCCCTTGCCTACATTTGAACCTACGAGTGCGTCTATTCCCTCCTGCGGTTTAGCAAGTATGACTGGATGCGAGATATGCGGGAATATATTAGGGACCAAGACGCTTCTGAATGTTGCCACCGCGAGTGGCGCCCCCTCGAAGTCCCCGAGGAGGGTGGAACCTTCGTCGAGTATGAGCTCCATGGTGGATCCTGAAACAGCGAAGGAGATTGAGCAGCTCAAGACGAGACTCGCCCATGCCGAAGCCGAGAATGCAAAAGGGCAGAAGAAGCCCGACGGCAAATTTGAAGCTAAGCTCAGTGCGTCCTCTCCTTGTTGAGCGCAATTCTCGGGAAATTGACGAATGGTCACCAACCGATCTGCTGCATCTGCAGAGGCTAGAGGAGTCGCTGCCCCTCGGCCGCCGAAGGGATCGTCCCTCGCTAATCCGAATAAGAGGGCCCGCAAGATCACAAAGCTCGAGTTTGAAGATTCGGACTAACATTAGTCGCCAGTCTGGAGGACGGAAGCTTATTCGCCTCGGATCTTCACGGACCCCTAATGGAACAGAATCGACGTCAGACAACTTGCAAAGTGATGTATTACAGGAACCCCTGTTTGTCTTCATTCTATGAATCGTATTAAGGTACATATAGCTACTCCTAATCCCAGAACTCGCCACGTCGTTGTAGCCGTCTATTTTCCTCCCAATGCTGCGGAACTACTTGACGACCAAGCCATCATGATCAATCCGGCGTCCGAGACGACTTGATCCCATGCGGGAGGGTTGTCCATCGCCACAGAAAGTTTCTCAAAGGTCTTGACCTCGACCATTCGAGTGTCTAGTAACTGCTGCGGAGGAGAATAAATAGCGGAAGCCGGAACATGCTTTTAATTTTGCCTCTCAGGATTGCATCATGGTGAACTCATGAGTCTGGCAGGATATATTTGAGACGATGTCAGACGGGTCAAGACTAGACTTTTTAATGGAGAATAGCCGTGTTTTGTCCCACAATGGTGGGTGCAACGCGGCGATATTCGAGTCTGGAGGGAATGAGACGGGCTGTCACTACATTGTGGCTGTGTCGCGAAGGCCCAGAGGCCGGGAGTTGCCGGATTTCACAGCGGATCGGTGAACGTGCACCGCGTCCTGCGCTCCGGTGGTTTCTTCAAATAGTCCTTTGCCAGCTAGCCAGTCACTCCTTTCAATCACAACGCTGTAACGCCAGCCCCGCACGCAAGCCATGTCTTTCTCGAATGCGCTTGCCTTCTCGACGAAGCCTGCCGCGCAAGCCGACAATGCGCCCAACGTTAACGGCCTCGGCGTGGAGGCCATGTTCAAGCAGATCATGGACGCTGTCCAGAGATCAGTAAGAAGCATCCAGGCTATTCATGTGCTTCTCGTTAACGATCTTTGACAGTCCTATGAAATTGCAGAGCTCCGGCAGGAGTGTGCAGAGTTGAAGCAAGCCAACGCGACTTTGGAGCGTCAGTTAAGAGAGGGCTTCCAGGTAATTACATGTCTCTTGATCTCTCTGAACCATGCAAATGCATGTTTGCGTTGGTCTACGCAGAGGAAATGTGCAATGCGCGGCGTGGTCGATGGAACCATGTCAGGTCGACACGGTGTGCATGGAAAAGCCCTTCACTAGGCCTTGTGTCTCATTGCATTTTCGGACATTGGACACTTGCATCGGACTGCTTCCAGCAGTGTATTATATATAGTATTACTGCTTTCTGACTTTTGCGCCTCCAGAACAACAATAACAATTCTCCATACCGAACTCCTGGATTCGTCACACCTGGATTCGCTACCCCCGCGCCGGGGAGCCCTCAGCTGCGCGCGAAATCCCCATTCCTGAGCCCGAGCAGCATCCCTTCCCTCGCCGTCCCCGCGTCCGTACACGTCCCCTCACCCCTGGGCGACCACGCCCTGACCGCCTTCCCCTTCGGCATCCGCGAAATACCCGGCTTCTACGTCGTCATCCCCGCCGGTGGTGCGGGCACGCGCCTGTGGCCGCTGTCGCGCGAGGAGCACCCGAAGTTCCTGCTCGACCTCACCCTGAAAGGTCGGTCCCTCATCCAGGCGACGTGGGACCGTCTCATCCCGCTCTCGTCCCCCGCCCGGACGACCGTCGTCGCCGGCCCCGCGCACGTGAAGAGCATACGCGAGCAGCTCCCGGATCTCCTCGGGCACAACCTGTTCTGCGAGCCTAGTGCGAAGGACTCGATGGCTGCCATCGGTCTGGCCGCGGCGGTCCTGGCCAGGCGCGACCCGAACGCTGTCATCGGCTCGTTTGCCGCGGACCACATGATTTCCGGCGACGATGCCTTCTTGTCTGCGGTCGCTGAGGCGGTCGAGGTTGCGAAGAAGGATTACCTCGTTACTATTGGTATTGCGCCCTCGCACCCTTCTACCGGGTTCGGTTATATCCGTCTGGGCGAGAAGCTTGAGGTACCGGAAGCGCCCAATGCTAGGCTGGTCTCAAGCTTCAAGGAGAAGCCCGACGCGAGGACTGCCGCTGCGTACATCGCTACTGGTAACTATCGGTGGAACGCCGGTATGTTCGTCGTGAAGGCCTCGTTCCTCATGGATCTGTTGAAGGAGTACAAGCCTGAGTTGCATGATGGCCTGCAGAAGATCGCGGCTGCGTGGAACGATGAAGCTCTCAGGCAACAGGTCCTCGATGAGATCTGGCCTAAGCTGGAGAAGATTCCCATCGATAATGCCGTCGCTGAACCTGCTTCGATGCAAGGCAGGGTTGCGGTGGTGCCTGCCACCTTCGGTGAGTTGCTGGTCCACTTCTCTATTATATTGCCGCTTGCGAAAGGCTTTCGCTGACTGATGTTCACAGGTTGGGACGACGTCGGAGATTTCTCCTCTCTCGCTGACCTTCTCCCGGCTGAGGCAAGCCAGCCTCGCGTACTCGGTGACAGTGGCCTTGGTATGTCTTTCACGACCCAGGATATCCGTGCCTGACATTGACATTGACTGCTCGTTCTTTTAGTGCTGACGGAGCAAGTTGCTGGAGGCATTGTTGTGCCGGGATCTGGCCGTCTCGTAGCCTGCCTGGGAGTCGATGATCTCGTCATCGTTGACATGCCAGATACTTTGCTCGTCACGACCAGAGCTCGCTCCCAAGAAGTCAAGCGCTTAGTTAAAAAGTGCCGTGACGCAGGATGGAAGCAACTGCTTTAAGCAGGCCACATAACCAGAAGCGATGGTGCGGGTTACATAGTGGAATCTGGGTTGGGTTTTCTGGTTGGTCATTCTCGTCTAAACTATTGGATTTGTGGACTTTAGCACTGGACACACTGCGATCGGGAACTGTACGGGCTCGTCTTTATTGTCTCCTTTCCTTCCCTACTGTAGTCATGGATGGACACGACTTCTGCGATTTCTTGCAGACATTCCTTAATAAATACCGTTTGCATCGAGTGTGCGCAAACCATGGGACTGGTGATGCCTTGATGTGGAGATGTGCGTAGCCTCGTAGAGCTATTCCTCTCCTGTCTGACGCAACGACCTGTCCTGAATGGCGCAGTACACATGGGATTACGGCTGTACAAGTAGCTACTGGCTACTGACGTTTTGTTGCACTGTAAATCGAAGAGCCCTGTCCGCCTGATTGCGACAGAAATAAAAGCGGAAGACGGATGTGGAAAAGACACGAAATACAAGTGCCTGGCCATGGAAATTGTGGCTGTCCAGAAGTCCAAGCTCCGGTGTATTTTTGCGATGATGCGAACACAATCATTGAATTGCGCAATATACACCAAGACTGGAGCATGCAGTTTATATCCTTCATGAGCTCGAGCGGTGTGGACGAGCAAGGGCTCTCTTACGGCGACGCTTCTTAGCTTCCTAGTCGGGAATGTCGGTCAGCGTCCACTCGAAGTTCACCAAGGATCCCGACGACTCCAGCAGGGATGCTGAAGATGCGCTGGACTCTGAGCGCGAAGAGCAGCATATCGCAGTGGGAGCTCTGCCCACTCCTCCCGTAGACAGGATTGGGCATCTGCACAGAGGACTGTCTGCGAGACAAGTCCAGATGATCGCAATTGCAGGGACTATTGGTACGGGACTCTTCCTGGGGACGGGTAAATCGCTGGCACAGGGCGGCCCAGCCAGTATGCTCATCTGCTATGCAATCGTCGGCTTTATCGTGTATGTGACCCTGCTCTTGCTCGGTGAGATGGCTACTCAGTATCCCGTTGCTGGTGAGTGTCATTTCACTTAGGGTAGGCCGCTCGTGCGGCTTGCGGGCAGTGCCCGTGTAGCTGCAACCATGACCGGACATATACCGCTTGCCTCAGTTTTCTATCCGCCGTGTACGCGGTACAGGCTCACGTATTTCCTTAGGTTCATTCACCGCCTATTCTACCCGCTTCTTCTCCCCTTCCTATGGATTCGCGCTATCCTGGAATTACTGGTTCAACGATGCCGTGTCTGTGGCGTCTGATCTCACCGCCGCGCAACTCGTCCTCCAATTCTGGAACGTAAATAACTCCTGGATTGTCAGTCTTGTCTTCTGGGTCTTCCTGGTGGGCGTGAACGCTACCCAAGTGAAAGCATACGGGGAACTCGGTAGGTGGACTGATGCTGCATTCGCGCCCGAGTTCGAGTTCGTATTGACCAGACGATTCATCGCGCCTTAGAATACTGGCTATCGTCGCTCAAGGTCGCGACCATAGTCGTTTTTATAATATTGGGCATCGTCGTCAACGCCGGCGGGAACACCTCGCACGAATATATTGGGGGCAAGTATTGGCACATACCGGGTGCTCCTTTCGTCGGAGGGTTCGGGGGCTTTGCAAGAGTATTTGTTACCGCTAGTTTTGCCTGTCAGTACAAGCGCTGCACGATATCATGCTTCTGTCTACTAAGCCCTCGTTAGATGGCGGAACAGAGAGTCTCGGTGTCACTGCGGGCGAAACGAAGAATCCCTCACGTAACATGCCTCGAGTCGTGAAGTTTGTTTTCTGGAGGTACTTCCCACGACTCTCAGTGTGTTCGACCGGCTGAAAACTGTTGTCCTCCAGAATACTATTATTCTATATCCTGAGTATCTTGCTGATAGGTCTGAATGGTACGTCCCGGTAAAGGCCTCATTTTTCGCGTTGTGACGGAGAGTCTAGTACCTTGGGACTATCCTGGCTTGTCTAACAAGAGCACAACAACGTCCCCTTTCACCATTGTATTCAAGGAAGCTGGCTCGAGTGAGTGCATTTATCACCTGGGGCGTGTTCCGAGGCTAAATATCAAACGATAGCTGTAGCTGCGTCGTTTATGAACACGGTCATTTTGACCTCAGTACTCTCGGCCGGCAATCACGCCCTCTTCGCTGGGACCAGGATTATGTACGGATTATCAGCGTCTGCCCAAGCACCGCGGTTCCTCTCTCGGACGACGAGGCAGGGCGTCCCGTTGTTCGCTTTGCTGGTCACGAGTAGCATCAGCATCCTCTGCTTCGGGAGTAGCTTTGTTGGCAGCGGACAGCTGTGGAGCTGGCTGCAGAACATCGTCGGTGTGTCAAACCAAGTACGCTACCGTCACTGTCGCTCGCTTCGTTACTTACCTATTACTAGATCGCGTGGTTATCCATTGGACTGGCTAGTTGGCGGTTCAGGACAGCCTGGAAGAGACAGGGGAGACCACTGGAGGAGATGAAATACCGTGCAAGCTGGACCTGGCCATGGGGCCCATACTTCGTGGTAAGTGGCATTGGACGACACGTACCGGGCAAAGATGTTGAGCTATGCAACCGTCTAGGTTGTCACCGTATCCGTCCTGATCCTAGGTGAGTGGCGTAGTACGGGACCGTTGTTCTCGTGCTCACGTCTACGTAGTTCAAGGCTGGTCATCTATTTTCCCCGAGTTCACGGCTGTCGACTTCGTTTCCTTCTACATTGAGCTACCCATTATGCTGGCCATGAGCCTCGCATGGTTGCTGTTCAAGGGACGACGAGTTCCTCAGCTCAATGAGTCGACAGTCGCACTCACTGGGGAACAGTCGGATAGTAAGGGCAGAATCGGTAGATTTTTCGACATTGTGGACACGGAAACGGTGAATCTGAGGATCGACGAATATAAGGAGGATCCCAAGGATCTAGCGGATGAGTCCATACGGGCGAAACGCCTCTCCGGATCGGCTGGCTGGCTATGGAGAATATACTATTTAATCGCATAGCATCACATGTTATTAAAAGCAAAGGAGTTGTACAACATGTATATCCCGTAATATATAAGCGATGATAAATAGTGTGATACATGCAAGGGTGCGGAAATGAAGAATACAAGACTGCTACACTGAGCGAGAAGCTACAATTTAGAACGTTTTTCGACGGCATCGAGAGCAGCATTTGCGCGGACGTGGAGATTGCTCTGCAATGACGTGATATCAATGAGGAAACATGTGATGGCGACAGATAGCAACACTCACCTCCATGCTGTACTTGCCCTGCGGAAGCCACACGTACTTGATCAGATCGGGGCAAAGCGAGTATAGCAAAGAACATACCTTCTTGCCACCTGCGTTCACCTCCAACGGCTTGCCTGGACGAAGGTCAGTCCTAGGCGGGTGGAAGATCTAGACCGAGGAGACTCACCCGACAGGACCAGCTCGAACTGAGTTCGAGCGCCGGCTTTGTCCCCAGCGCATAGCATTAGCCGCCCGAGTTCATAATCTTTGCAGCCGTGTTAATTAGTTAGAGTGAAGGCGGCACAAAGGGATTAATAGCGACATACGTGAGTAGTATACCAGCCAGTGATCGTACTCGATCTTCTGGCCGTTTGCAAACACGGCAGCGAAGGCGTCCCGGGACTGTTTCTCGGCCTCTGCTGGTGTTATGTCTGTCGGGCCTTCGTCTTCTACGATCGCATCTGGGTCCTGGAGGGGACGAGTCAGCCAAAAACGTAACACGGAAACAAGATGGCTGAAACGAACAGGGTGCGCTACGTAGCGTAAGCAAACCCCCTGGAGAAAACGGGCGAGACAGTAGTCGTCCCAGTATCCGCTGCCGTATTTCGACTGATTCTCCCTGCGCGAATCGAGCGTGCGCAGGCTTTCTTGTACCATTGGAAGCATCTTCGTGACAAGCACCGACCGCGGGGCATGCGCAATACAGAGAAACACGTAGCCGAACTCCAGGGCTGGGAGGAGTAGGCGTCCACCTTGGGATTTGAATTTGCGTGCCTTGCGCTCCACGAATTTCTGCAAGGCGCAAGGGATTAAAGCATAGTCGAACCAACGACGGCCGGGACGCTCACCTCGAGTGGTATCGATTTACCGGCGATACGTTGGCGGAGGCTGGGGACCTTGTCCAGGAGACTGGCGGCTTCCTTCTTGTTCTCTTCACCGCCGAGCTGGAGCAGGCAGACGGCTACCCCGTAGGTATAGCAAGCCTTGGACCACTGTCGCATGCATGTGCAATGTGAGGTCCAACCAAGAATACAGATAAGGAACGCGGTGGGCGCACCGTTGACGATTTCAGCATTGTTCGCCAGTGTTCAAGCGAGGTGGGGATATCCCAGAGGCAGAGATTCGCGACGGCCATTTCCCAGTACGAGATCTGATGCAGATTATAGTACTGGCTTTGCGCCTGCATCGCTTTCTTGTAGTAGTCCAGTGCTTTCTGGGGCCGACTGCGGCATAGGTTGAGCCTGCCAGCGCCGAACAGAAAGAGGATACCTTCGAAAGGGCGTCAGGGTAGTAGGGGACGACGAAAGCGGGAAAGGACGTGTCTTTACCATTTGGATAGCGCTTGAGATTCCAGTCGAGGATCTTCTGCGCCATCTCGATGTCCACGCCCTCAAAGGTAAAACTAGACAGGACGAGATGGAAGATGAGGAGAGCGGCGTCGCAGATACTACGGCGCACGCCTTCCTTCTCTAGAGATCGAGATGAGTCTGTGCGCCCGACAGAGCTGCGCGCCATACCTTTCGGCACGCCGGGTTCCGACGACGCCTTCGTCCAACCGCCCGCGCGCATCAAGTAGTCCAGCCCGGCTTGACGATCGCCCTTGTACCCGAACATCTCGACGATGGTGAGTAGCCGGCCCGGCATCATGCTGAGGATGAGATTGGACATGCCCACGCCCAGGTAGACGCCGGATCTGAAGTCAGCGTCGATGGAGGCGTCTTCCGGGCCCTCGCCTCTTGCTTGGGCTTCGGCGTCGACGGCCTCGAGGTACTTTCCTAGGTTTCGATAGATGTTGATGAGAGTGCGCATGTTCAGCCTACATGAGGGTTAGTTAGTTCCCGGCTTAGACGGTAGAACTTACGCTTCTTTGATAAAGGACAGCCAATCTCCGGAATAGACGATACCCAGAATTGCCTACAACAAGATTTGTGCGTGAGAGACATGTGGGGGCTGAGGGCGAAAGTACGAGGGAACGCACCTTCTCGAAGAGACTTTCAGCATAGACTAGCTCGGCATGTCGCTCGACCGGAGTCATACTCTTGTAATAGCCCACGCCGGAAGTGTGCAGCGAGGAGACTACGAGCCCTGCCAGCCTGGTGGCCATAGAGACCGACTTCTTACGATGATGTGCTGCCACCGCATTGCCATGCTTTGCGTGACCGAGGGCGGTCAGCAGGTCCTAGCGCTCATTGAGTAAGCGCATGAAGTCCCTTCACGAAGAAGTACTGGTGCTCTTACCTCGTTCTCGAAGGACATGAGGCCCTTGAGGCACTGAATCAAGCCGTAACCTGTGGTGAAGTATAGCCGCTCCCTGGTCGACTAGTCAATCCACACGAGCTCATTCGAAGCGGCTGGACGTACTTCTTGGGGTCACACTCGTCGCAGTACTTCTCTGACTCCAACATGTGGGACGCAAGGAAAAGGTCTAGGGCGTATCGCACGCCCGGGATATCGTCGAGAGCATGCTCCGGGGAGTAGGGCGTCTTGGGCGCGGGCGGAGGTGGGGGGATGTCTGAATCTGGCTCGCCCGCCTGCGCCACATCAAACGTCTTCATGTCTACAGCGTGCATGAGATTAGGTGCAGTTAGATTAAAGGGGACGCAGGACGCACCGGAAGTCATCGACTTCTTGTCCGTCTCGATCAGTACCGCCGGTTTCTCATACTCCGTGATTCCTATTGGCGTCTCGACTGCAGTAGCCATAGTTTATTGAGTTTTTGACGGAGGCGGGATGTCGTTGGGAAAGGGCGAAGGGCGGCCGAAGCATTCGCAGTGTATCCCAGGCTCAAGAGGCGGCTGATGCTCGGTCACGGTGTCGGGAGTGACTCCCAAGAATACCCGAAGCGTCATTGGGCGTTCCCCGCAACAGCCGCCCTTCGTCTCGGACGCGTTCGACCTTTCACGTCAAGCGGAATATGTTCTGCGGCTTGTTTCCAGTCTGTCACTTACACCAGGTTTTTTAAACTTATCCCAATACTATCGTGTCGATGGCTGTTATACAGGCGTCGATCACTTGCAGGCATTCCGGCAACGCTCTGACCGGCGGTATGCGACGCTGGCTTTCACTACACCGCCGTCGCCTCTAAATATTTGACAGACATCGGTCCGGGACCTAATCCGGGCGTCCCGGCGGCACCTCACTTCGTCGTTCCGTAAATGTTCTACAAACAAAGCATAACCGGGCAGATATCGACATTTCGCTGGCAACCTTGTGGCAATGTTCTTGCGACCTTCGTATAACATCTCCCCGTTGTCGTAGGTATGTGCGGTTGGACTCTCTGGATATGCTGCGACAGTCCCTGTTGTCAAAAATCAGATAAATTGAATCATTTTATTACTGATGGCTGTAGGTATCTCTGGAATCATCAGGAGAAAAGGACTTAGCTTTATAGCTCTATGTAGGTCTTGTGAGTCGTATATCCCAGTAGCTACCCCCTGTATATATAGTCTTATATAGTCTAGTGCTAGAACTTCATAGCACCATATAGCAGTATGTAGCACAGTAGCATGGTACCACAGTAGCCGCAATAGTTGTATATAGCACTCCATAGCTCTGTAGCACCAACCAATGAGAATCCTCTGGGCTCCCCATTTTGTGCCTTCAGATGAGATACTGGCAAATGAATATTTTAATCATGATTGCTTTACATGCACTAGTACTAATTTATAAGGTGATTTACTAAATGCCTAGGGTTAGAGCTGGCTTTGGGTTACCAGATTAGGAAGGAGCGTGGGAACACCCACCGTAACTTTACGGCCCATGTCTGTGATACAATGTGGATGACGAAGAACAGGTCAGGGTGTAACTTTACGCAACAGGGATCAGGTTGAGGGTGCAACGGGGGTCTTCAATGGGTATGTCCCGCCGTAAAATTACGGCAAATAACTGCAGTAGCAGCTTGACACATCGATGATGTCATGGGAATGCTTTGTAACAGACTACCATGAGGTAGTTGTGAGGCATGGTACAGGGAGATGTAAATAGGAGGACGTGCAAGCGACAGAGGCAATCCATTTCCACAAGCTACTTCGATGTCCTCCATCGCTGCATTGACGACTATCCTGAGTGATCCCTAATATTATACTATCTGCAGCGAACCCTTCGCTGCAGCATGCCATGCCGTGAAATTTCCTTATATGGTAGTCATGCCAGCCCCAATTGGGATGCGGCTGTGTCATGCCCGTCCCAAAAAGGTTCATGCCATGTCATCTCATGCCATCTCATGCCACTCTCATACCACTTTCACAAGATCTCTTGTTTCCTCATGTCATCTCCTACCCATATGGAACGGACGGTAGGCTGGCCTACCGTCCGTCGCGGGAAATACTTCCTTTTCGGCCCTTCTGACTATCTGGCAGGGGGTTTACGCACCTCCCAGTCAACATTGAAACACCCACCGAGACCCCCCTCCCCCCCTGCGGGCGCTTGTGTGCGGACGGCCTGCAACCCGCGACGGCGGGGGCTGGAATCGCTCCCCTCTCTCTGCTCTTTGTTGCAGCACCCTATTTCCACCCTTGTGAGCCTCTTTGCTTAGGCACCGCAGCCGCCAGACTGTCCCATT